TCAGCAGGATTTTCATGCTCAAGTAAAATTATAGTTTTCTTGATAATATGCAACAGAACCAAAAAATAACTTCCAAGCAAAAAATGTAGGCTTACAAAATAGTATGTAAAGTCACTTCCCCTTTGATGAGGTCATGAGAAACTTATTTTTATTTAAGTTTTATGCGTTAAGAACGCATAACTTTTGTACTGCAGGGGAGAAACAAAAAACGATTTAACAAAATCCTATGGATACTATGACACTAGGATAAGATGAACTGAAAACTGACTTTTTAATAAAAATCGACAACAGTACCTAATTGCTATCCTTCCTTCACATTTAAAGATGAATAATGACAGTCTCTTTAGAAAGGAACTTTCACATAAATACTATAATTAATTTATTCCGTTGACTGGCATTACGCAGAAGTTTAGGGCTTATAAAGGATAATTCCTCACCAAAAGTGTATTTATTAGGAACAGAATCCCAGTTACTTTTTTCTTAAGGTGTCTAGTATTATGAAGTACGGGCAGGCATACTTGGAATGAATCACATAAACTCAAAACTAAACATGAAAAATCCACAAAATTCTACCAAAATTCCTTCATCTAAATACCACCAGATAACAGGTTAATGTAATATCTCAGACATTACCATGTTCTGGAAGTTCGCCATATGCCTTCAGACTTCTAGCCTCATCTGCATTGTATTTTAAAATTACATCAGCTTTATTATCCTTAAAAAAGAGACAAATAAGATTTACAAATGATTATGCCAAAATATTATCCGTTATTTCATAAATTCGTTTCAAACTGGATAGAAAATTAAATTTCACTGTTGTGTTATAAACTCCTCTCCTTCTTCTAAAAATGTAAAGTTTTCTCCTACCCTCTGAAAAACATCCTTGGGTTTATTAACCCAGTATAAAGAAGCTTACATGCATAAATGAATAATGATCAACAAGCTTAGGGAAGACAGTTATAGATTTCACTTCAATAAGAGCAGAACTGTACAGACCCAATCTTTTGGATTATTTAGTTACCCTTTGATCAGAAGTCTTTTGAAGTACAAAACTTCCCTGGGACCATAATTTACAGGTGATTAAATACTTGAACTCAAAAACTGAGACCGGTATAATGACCCAAGGAAATTATTATACCTTTCCACGTATCAGTGGTTCTTAGGGTACAAATCCATCAGAATCTCCTATGGAGCTTTTACACCTCCGAAAGACAGATAAATTAGGAGATGTGGAGTGAAGCCCATGAGTGTGTATTTGTAAAAGATATGGGTATTTCTGATGCAAGTGTCCCACTGAAAACTAATGCTTCAGAATGTTCACACTTCCCCACCTGAAAGGAATCTGACCCAGTTAAGGAAGAAAAAAAGGGTTGAAGCTGATTGTTTCAACTTCAAAAATTCTTAAAGGCAACGTTAAGTGATCACAATGATCCAAGAATGGTGTGATTCAGACCAGCACTTATTAAAATGGTAATGTGTACAGAAGCCCAAGGGGATTCTGGTTAAAACGCACATTCTGATTTAGAAGGCCCGGGGGTGAGGTCCAAGAATCTGCGTTTCTAACAAGTTGCCAAAAGCTAGGGATGCTACTGGTCCCTGTACCACCCTTTAAGTGGCAGGGACATAAAAGAAGGATCATGGGAGATAAAGAATTGGAAAACTTAATGTGGCTGTCATTTTATAGTATGAATGTTACACCTTTCAGAACCTTGATTTCCTTATCTGTCCAACAGGGAACTAACTAATTCTTCCTACTTCTGGGGTTATCTTTAGGATCAAAAGAAGAAAATGGACTTTAAAATGGTATGAGTTTAAAGCAGGCTATCTCAACCTCAGCACAGCTGATATTTTGGGCCACATAATTCTTTGCTGTAGGGACTGTCCTGTGCATTGTAGGATGTTTAGCATCACCCCGGTCTCTATCAACTAGATGACCAGCACTGACCCCTACCCCGAGGTGTGAAAACCTGAAATGTCTCCAGACACTGCCAAATGTCCTCTGGAGGAAAATAATCACCCACGGTTGAGAACCATTGATTTAAGATAAAGATTTTAATTCTTTATTCTAGAACATATATTTAAAAAAATCAAAGTACGATCAAAGTTATAAAAATAGAAACACGATCACTCAAAATTTAAATACATGGTGATGAGTTCCAATAGGTAGAAACCAAATGGATTTCATAGCCCTAGCATGAGTAGAGTCTCCAGGTTGACATCATGAAGGGCAACTACCATTTTCTTCCTAAGTACTCATCTAAATTTAGAGCACATACTTTTATCATGGTTTGTACTGCAATTACTTGTGTGCCTGTCTTACCCTCTCTACTACCAGGCCATAAGCATTTTGTGAGATGACAGCTTGACTCATTCAGTTGTATCCCCTAGAGTAATGGTTTCCAGATTTTGATTTCAAGACGCATAAGTTAAAAAAACAAAAAAAAAGGGGGCAGGCAGTCCAACATAAAATTATTTTTATCTTGCCAACTAAGAACACCAACAAAACCACCACAATATAGTATCCCTCCTTCCAAAAAAGGGAACTTTTTAAGTATCAAAAAGGGAAAAAGGACTATTGAGCTTCATGAAAAATTCACTGTCTGTGATTCTTCTATAGTGAAAATGCAGACTTCCACAGACTGGCATTTGGGAACCATGATCCCTGGGGTACCTAGCACAATGCCTAAGACAGAACTGGCCCTTAAGAAATGTTTGTTGACACAACGGTGAATAGCATACTGGCCTGGAACTGGTCAAATACGGTTATGACTTATGTTCTAAACATTAATTGCTCATAAAATTCAAGCAAGTAAACAATGAAAAATTTAATTTTGTTTTTACCTGGTAGTCCCGTAGACCAACCAATATAATGTCTGAGGTATTTATCCAAACCTATAAAAGTCACAGGAGGTTACATTTAAAATAAAAATAATCAATCAAGAGCAATGTTGAGTCAGTCTTCCCATAAAATACACATACTATTCACCCAACTGTGGGTAAAGTACCTGTATCTAGAATTAGGGAAAAAAACTACAGTAAGCAGCTGAGCCACTTTCAAATTTTCTATAATTTTGGACATTAGAAAAATAACAATCTTATTTAACTACTTGACAGTTTAATAATTCCAGAGGACCAATGATTAGTTTAGAAATTAAGGGATTCTTAATACTGAACCCCTCTAAGTGGTTAGTTATCCATTACAACATATGAGAATAGTAAATTAGGACTGTGGTTTTATCTCCCTCCCTCCCTCCCTTCCACACCCAAATACACACAGGAAACAGAACTCCTTTAGTTTGGTAACATGAGCATTAACAAGACAAATGTTTAAAAAACCATAAAGCCAGGGATGGAGCGACTTTTAACCAACCTGATCAATAAATCTGCCTGAACACCTACCCTGATGACAAATTAATCACTACTTTCCAAGGCAGCCCATTCATGATCTCAGTTCAGGAAATGTAACATTAATACCACACTTATTTACTGTAATTCATATTCAAGTTTTCTTAACACTCCTTACAGCTATTTCCCCCACCCTCAAACCGGAACCCAAACAAGGGCCACCTACTGCATTTAACCACTGCATCTCTTTAATCTCCTTTACATTGAAATAGCCCGCCCTGCTGTTTTCTTTCCATTCATGACATTAACATTATATACATTAGCAGTCAGGCCATTTGTTTTGCAGTGTGTCCCTCAATTTGGACTTGTTAATTGTTTCCTCATGATTAGATTCGGGTTTATCATTTTGGGGCAGGAATACTACATAGGTGATATAAATGAGTCTTTAGACAGATACCTGTATAAAATTACCATCAAAGATCTTGCTGTTTTGACTTAGAGGTAAATCACTGTTCTACTGAAATCTTTTGGGAACTCACAAAAATGAGGTCCTTGGCCCATAAAAACCTTAGAGCCATTTTTTCCCCTTAACCATAATTTTATATTAAAGTAAAACAAGTCTCCACACTTACCTTTTTTCTCAGTTTCCCTCTGATGTGACATAACCTCTTTACACCATCAAAACACATCGCTTCTAATCGTCCATTTCCCAACATTTTGATTACTTGAGCATACTCTGGAGGAGGAAAAAGTAAAGGGTATAAGATATTGCTGAATTTTTGATAAAAGCAACTTAAAAGTCCACATACAATTGATTAGAACATACAGGTGTGTTGGTTAGGAATAAGTATATGCAGTAAAATAAGTACAAGGGAGTGATAAAACACCAAGCTAGTTAACGGCAGAGCCATAACCAAGACTGTGTAATGCCGTTTCTACGACAAGCTGTCCCTGCTATCATAAATATTTTAATTACCTACTCATTTTGAGTTAAGTGGACTGTCCACTGTCTTCATGGCTGTATGCTCTACTTCTGGAGATCAAGGTGGCCTGTCCCAAAATGTACACTAAAATGTATCTCATCACTCTCTCACTTTGGAGTCTCACCCAGTTTTGGTCTCCTTTCCCTCAGAGGAGGGTTAGTCTTTAGAGGCTAACTGCAACACAATTTTTGGTACACCGGCAAATAAAAAGCAGCTTATATGTTATTAATGTCTTTGTTAGATCAGAATATCTTAGTGATTATTCTAAAGTTTTTGTAAAGCTGGAAAGATGTTCCCAGACAAAATGCCAAACTTTTGATCAACTTTCCAAAAGGGTTCCCAGGAAGCCACCCTACTTCACTGCCACTAGAAAAACTGAGATTATGAGCAGTGGCTTGCACACCGGCCGTCTCTCCTGTCATTAAATGACAGAAGACCGGAGGTGGGGGAGGGGGTGGGGTCACTTCAGAACCTTACTTAAGAAAGAAAACTATTACTGAAAGAAACCTAACTTATGAAAATGCTTACCTTGCCCATCTTCTTTGAACACCAGCTCTCTCTTTTCAGATTCATTCTCATTCTTACCTCTGCGTCTATTTTTACCTCCTTTACCTAATGGTTTTAAAGAAAAAGACATTAATTATCTGCAACACAGAAAAAGAAACTAAACTAGGGCTTACAGAATGTTCTTTAAAAGCCACTTAAATTATAAGAAGTACAATCTACTATGGGTAAAATAAATAAGCTACACGAATATATTATACAGCACAGGGATTATCGTATTTTACAATAACTTTAAACAGAGTCTAATCTACTAAAATACTGGATCACTATGATGTACACCTGAAACTAATGTTGTAAACCATACTTCAAACAAACATCAAAAACCTGAAAAAAAAAGAAAAATTTAAAAATTCACCTAATTTGGTCATGTATCTCCAATCATATTAAACATATACATGTCGTCACTTCCCTACCCTTCCTGGAAATCCCTTTTGGGATAATGCTGACATAAAATACAAACAAACCAAAAGGAGATATCATAAACGTAACGACTACTTGGTTGAATACACTGCTCAGTGAACTCCTCTTACAGTGGCCCACAAGGACCAAGGAGGGATATAAAATGGATCATGATAAATTTTATAAAATGGGGTCTCTCTTGTACCTGCTCCCCCAAATGAAAAAGGTCTGTGTGCAAAAAGAAGTTAATTGGGCAGAGGCGGGTGGGGGTAAAGTCTTATCAACTGGAAAGGGACACTGATTTTGTGGCAGTAGAGGGAGAGCAACAAGTCTGGCAACCCTGAGAGTTTACATTTTATCCTATAGCTGTAGAATACATCAAGCAAGTTAAAAAGCAAGGTACTTAAAAACAAATGACAATGGAGACACGATGACCCAAAACCTATGGGATGCAGCAAAAGCAGTTCTAAGAGGGAAGTTTATAGCAATACAATCCTACCTTAAGAAACAGGAAACATCTCGAATAAACAACCTAAACTTGCACCTAAAGCAATTAGAGAAAGAAGAACAAAAAACCCCGAAAGTTAGCAGAAGGAAGGAAATCAGAAAAATCAGACCAGAAATAAATGAAAAAGAAACGAAGGAAATGAAAGCAAAGATCAATAAACCTAAAAGCTGATTCTTTGAGAACATAAACAAAATTGATAAACCATTAGCCAGACTCACCAAGAAGAAAAGGGAGAAGACTCAAATCAATAGAATTAGAAATGAAAAAGGGGAAGTGACAGCTGACACTGCGGAAATACAAAAGATCATGAGAGATTACTCCAAGCAACTCTATGCCAATAAAATGGACAACCTGGAAGAAATGGACAAATTCTTAGGAATGCACAACATGCCAAGACGGAATCAGGAAGAAATAGAAAATATGAACAGACCAATCACAAGCACTGAAATTGAAACTGTGATTAAAAATCTTCCAACAAACAAAAGCCCAGGACCAGATGGCTTCACAGGCGAATTCTATCAAACATTTAGAGAAGAGCTAACACCCACCCTTCTCAAAATCTTCCAAAATACAGCAGAGGGAGGAACGCTCCCAAACTCATTCTACGAGGCCACCATCACCCTGATACCAAAACCAGACAAAGATGTCACAAAGAAAGAAAACTACAGGCCAATCTCACTGATGAACAGAGATGCAAAAATCCTCAACAAAATACTAGCAAACAGAATCCAACAGCACATTAAAAGGATCATACACCATGATCAAGTGGGGTTTATTCCAGGAATGCAAGGATTCTTCAATATACGCAAATCAATCAACGTGATACACCATTATTAACAAACTGAAGGAGAAAAACCATATGATCATCTCAATAGATGCAGAGAAAGCTTTCGACAAAATTCAACACCCATTTATGACAAAAACTCTGCAGAAAGTAGGCGGAGAGGGAACGTTCCTCAACATAATAAAGGCCATATATGACAAACCCACAGCCAACACTGTCCTCAATGTTGAAAAACTGAAAACATTTCCACTAAGATCAGTAACACGACAAGGTTGCCCACTCTCACCACTCTTATTCAACATAGTTTTGGAAGTTTTAGCCACAGCAATCAGAGAAGAAAAGGAAATAAAAGGAATCCAAATCGGAAAAGAAGAAGTAAAGCTGTCACTGTTTGCAGATGACATGATACTATACATAGAGAATCCTAAAGATGCTACCAGAAAACTACTAGAGCTAATCAATGAATTTGGTAAAGTAGCAGGATACAAAATTAATGCACAGAAATCTCTGGCATTCCTATATACTAATGATGAAAAATCTGAAAGTGAAATCAAGAAAACACTCCCATTTACCATTGCAACAAAAAGAATAAAATATCTAGGAATAAACCTACCTAAGGAGACAAAAGACCTGTATGCAGAAAATTATAAGACACTGATGAAAGAAATTAAAGATGATACAAACAGATGGAGAGATATACCATGTTCTTGGATTGGAAGAATCAACATTGTGAAAATGACTCTACTTCCCAAAGCAATCTATAGATTCAATGCAATCCCTATCAAACTACCACTGGCATTTTTCACAGAACTAGAACAAAAAATTTCACAATTTGTATGGAAACACAAAAGACCCCGAATAGCCAAAGCAATCTTGAGAACAAAAAATGGAGCTGGAGGAATCAGGCTGCCTGACTTCAGACTATACTACAAAGCTACAGTAATCAAGACAGTATGGTACTGGCACAAAAACAGAAAGATAGATCAATGGAATAGGATAGAAAGCCCAGAGATAAACCCATGCACATATGGTCACCTTATCTTTGATAAAGGTGGCAGGAATATACAGTGGAGAAAGGACAGCCCCTTCAATAAGTGGTGCTGGGAAAACTGGACAGGTACATGTAAAAGTATGAGATTAGATCACTCCCTAACACCATACACAAAAATAAACTCAAAATGGATTAAAGACCTAAATGTAAGGCCAGACACTATCAAACTCTTAGAGGAAAACATAGGCAGAACACTCTATGACATAAATCACAGCAAGATCCTTTTTGACCCACCTCCTAGAGAAATGGAAATAAAAACAAAAGTAAACAAATGGGACCTAATGAAACTTCAAAGCTTTTGCACAGCAAAGGAAACCATAAACAAGACCAAAAGACAACCCTCAGAACGGGAGAAAATTTTTGCAAATGAAGCAACTGACAAAGGATTAATCTCCAAAATTTATAAGCAGCTCATTGCAGGTCAATAACAAAAAAACAAAGAACCCAGTCCAAAAATGGGCAGAAGACCTAAACAGACATTTCTCCAAAGAAGATATACAGATTGCCAACAAACACATGAAAGGATGCTCAACATCATTAATCATTAGAGAAATGCAAATCAAAACTACAGTGAGATATCATCTCACACCTGTCAGAATGGCCATCATCAAAAAAATCTAGAAACAATAAATGCTGGAGAGGGTGTGGAGAAAAGGGAACCCTTTTCACTGTTGGTACGAATGTAAACTGATACAGCCACTATGGAGAACGGTATGGGGGTTCCTTGAAAAACTACAAATAGAACTACCGTATGACCCAGCAATCCCACTACTGGGCATACACCCTGAGAAAACCATAATTCAGAAATAGTCATGTACCACAATGTTCATTGCAGCTCTATTTACAATAGCCAGGACATGGAAGCAACCTAAGTGTCCATCATTGGATGAATGGATAAAGAAGATGTGGCACATATATACAACGGAATATTACTCAGCTATAAAAAGGAATGAAACTGAGTTATTTGTAGTGAGGTGGATGGACCTAGAGACTGTCATACAGAGTGAAGTAAGTCAGAAAGAGAAAAACAAATACCGTATGCTAACACATATATATGGAATCTAAGAAAGAAAAAAAAAAGGTCATGAGGAACCTAGGGGTAAGACGGGAATAAAGACACAGACCTACTAAAGAATGGACTTGAGGATATGGGGAGGGGGAAGGGTAAGCTTTGACAAAGTGAGAGAGTCACATGGACATATATTCACTACCAAACATAAAATAGATAGTGGGAAGCAGCCGCATAGCACAGGGAGATCAGCTCCGTGCTCTGTGACCACCTAGAGGGGTGGGATAGGGAGGGCGGGAGGGAGGGAGATGCAAGAGGGAAGAGATATGGGAACATATGTATATGTATAACTGATTCACTTTGTTATAAAGCAGAAACCAAGACACCATTGTAAAGCAATTATACTCCAATAAAGATGTTAAAAAAAAAAAGAAAAGAAAAATCAAGGTAGTAACTGCCTGATCTTGGAAGTAACCAAGATGTCCTTCAGTAGGTGAAAGCATAAACTGTGGTACTTCCATACAATGGAATACTATTCAGCAATAAAAGGAAATGAGCTATCAACCCCCCCCAAAGACATGGAGAAACCTTAAGTGTGTATTACTAAGGGAAGGAAGCCAATCTGTAAAGGCTGAATAGTATGATTCCAGCCATATAACATTTCTGAAAAGGCAAAACTATAGAGTAAAAAGATCAGTAGTTGCCAGCTGGGGAGCGGGGAAGGAAGGACAGGTGAATAGGTGAACAACAGGATTTTTAACGCAGTATGGTACTGTAATGGTGGATACATGTCACTATATATTTGTCAAAAATCCATAAAACGTACAACACAAAGAATGAACCTTAATGTAAACTATGGACTATCTATAGTGGCTCATGTAAGATATTAATAATAGAGGAAACTGGGAGGGTGGGAGTTGGAACTCTGCAATTTCTGCTCATTTTTCTATCAACATAAAACTGCTCTAAAAGACAGTCTGTTAAAAAACAGTAAAAATCGGGCTTCCCTGGTGGCACAGTGGTTGAGAGTCCGCCTGCCGATGCAGGGGACATGGGTTCGTGCCCCGGTCCAGGAAGATCCCACATGCCGCAGAGCGGCTGGGCCCGTGAGCCATGGCCGCCGAACCTGCACGTCCGGAGCCTGTGCTCCGCAACGGGAGAGGCCACAGCAGTGAGAGGCCCGCATACCGCAAAAAAAAAAAACAGTAAAAATCAAGGTACGCTAGGGATGCAATCAGCAAAATCTAGCTGGGGGTTGGGGGACGAATCCACAAGACAATCTGTTTTCTTCAACAGA